ATATGTGACTGTTGCAAGAATTAGGATAGTTTATTTATTTGAAAAGCAATTACTTACAACTTTTTACAGCTGATTACATAAGATAGCTGCTTTGGAAACTAGTAACATGAGGGTTTGTGTTGCCAGAAATATTTTTGTTATTTAATCCGCTTTGTGACAAAATTTTCGTCATGTTTCCGCCTTGCGCGCATGATATTTTAAAAGTGGTTAATGGTACATACTTGAAATTGGATGGAATTCTTTATATGGGTACTATTTTCTAACTAAACCAAAAATCTGATGAATATTTTAATATTAAAAAATTTTAGGCACGAAAACATTACCGTTTTTTTTAATCAAATACATTTTATAAACTCAACTCCAAATAAAATAAAAGTTTAACATGAAATTCATAGAATTTTTGGTTCACAGTAATTTCCAAATGTTATAAAAGCTAGATATTAAATACGGAATTAAATTATGCAACAGAATGTTTTAAACTGTGTGCGCAAGGTGGAAGCACGACGAAAGCGTTTCTCATAAAGCGGATTAAATTATAAAAATATTAGTGGCAACACAAATTTTCTGATTACTATTTCAGAAAGCAGCTATATTATGTAGTCAGCTGTAAAAAGGTGGAAGTAATTGCTTTAAAAATAAACAAGATATTCCAGTTCTTACAACAGTCACATATTCAAAGATCTTATGGGTTTTAAAGTGCATGAGTCCCCTTAACAAGTGTGTTGTTTTTGAAATCTTCGGTTAGAGTTCGAACGCAGGAACTTTCTATCAATTGTTCCTTTTCTTCACGAAATAAAACTTCAGGCACATTTGAAGAAAATGGATTTCCAATCCAGTTATCTTTTTTTATAATCCTCGGGAAAATATATATTGAAATTATTTATGAATGAAAAACAATGATTTTTAATGTCGGATGATAATTCTTTTCTTTCAAATTATTTTTGATTAGGAAACCTTTCTAAAAGCGAAAAAAAGGCTTAAAATATTATTATTGAATTCTTTGACTATTAGCTCAAATTTTTAATCATTGCATTTATTTTATCTCTAATAGTAAACAAATTAAACCTTGTCTTTGTAATTCTAAATTTACTTCATTTAACTTCCCCCAAATACCAGCTAAATATGCTAAACCCGCCAACCATAATTCACTAAATAGACATTTGTGCAATTCAAATTTTGAATTATACAGGAAAATTTGAATTTTTGATCGAAGTTCAAAAAGACGATTTAAAACTTTGCTTCTGGATAACCACCTTACTTCGGAGTATAATAAAAGCGTTTCATGTTCACTGCCCATTTCTTGACATAAAATCGTAACTATTCATGAATTTTAAATTCGGCCTTTAATAAAATTAACAATTTTCACGTCTTGACTCAAAACGATTTTTCAGGATTTTGGGGATTCTTTTGGCTACTAAAGCTTTACGATGAATGGAGCAGTGAGTAAATTTAGTTTCAGCTGGGATTTTCTTTATTTGAGAAATTGCACCAGATTGTTTTCGTGTTAAAGCCCGAGCTCCGTTACGACACTGCATTTATTCCAAGGAATATCATTCTCTGACGTAAAACTGTCAATTACTTTGAAAATTTCATTTGCAGTTGCTCTTTCATGAAGCCATACCCAAAATAAATACTCTTCGGCAGTTCAATTATCTTCTTAGAAACGTACTTAAACTAATAATTGAAAAAGGTTCGTTATATCAGTACTTTCATCCAATTGCAATACAAAATACTCACTGTCTTTTATTTATTTAGTTTTTTTTAATAAGCGTTTCTTTTATTGAATTTGCCATTTCATCAATTCGTCGACTTATTGTGTAATTTGATAACATAATATAATTAAATTCTTTAGCCTCTTTTTCGTTGAATGATGTCAAAACAACATCTTTTAGCTGCTGGTAATATACAGTTTTTCTTGTATAGTGTAAGACTTGTCAATTCTTAGGCTTACTAATTAACTAGATTCCACAGCTTTTTTGATTGAAGTAACAAAACTTTTCATTACTTGCTTGCCATTTTTGAACTCCGATAATTTCTTCTTACCATATTCTTCAGATTTATCCCTTAAATTGGCATGCTCAGATTCAAGCTATCTTTTAAGAAACAATGGTTTCATACTTTGATTGGATAATATTTCACCGCAAACCACACACTGAGGTTAGCGGTACAATTCATCTCCATTCCAAGTATACCCAAATGATAAATAACTTTCCTTATATTTTTTAAAAGCTTTTCTTTTCAATATTCTTAGTGCTAGTAGATTGTTGTGGTTCCATCACCTGTGAATCATAACTTTTCAGCTTAGTCAATCCTAGCCATTTTTTCATTTTGGAAATCTAGATTTGTTTTATTATTTTTTCACAAGTATTAAAATGCATAATATATTACGAATTCTTATAAGCCAAACGACGATGTTTTCAAATTGCGTAGAAAAGTAAAGAATACAAAGCAACAAGAAGACAAAATACCTGCTGTTAGAGACAGCAGGTAAACGTAAAAATAATTGAAATGATGATAATTGAAAATGGAAAAAGCAATATGAGCCCGGAAATGGTGACTAATAAACTGTAGACCTGCTAATAAATCGATCAACTATAAAAGAATTAATGAGGCACTATAGTCTTTTTATAGGAAGTATTTTTATCTCCTATTTTATATAAAATCCATTTCTATTACTCCTTTTAAAAACATCCCTTACGACAAATTTTGTTACGTCTATGGCTAAAAAAATAGTTGTTTAAATAAAAGAAGGCCTATTTTGCTGAATTCTATGAGCGGCTATTGACCTTGAACAAAGCTCAGATCCCCTACATTTACGAGTGTTGGAGAAAAAACATTAGACAGAATGATGGGGTACAGAGGCTGTTCACGCATTTTTTAGACGATGTATATTATATTCACAAAACTAAATTACATAAAATTCTTGTGTTTTAAATGTTCTATTTGACATCCCTTATCCTGAACTATCTTTCTACACCGCAATTTCCAGGATAATAATGCTTTTTGAAGTGGCAGAAAAGGTATTCTATCCCATTCCTCCCGAACAGCTTTCCAGAGTCCTGTTAGGTTTTGGGACAACGTTTGGATAATGCAGTTTTTAAGGTCCGAAAGCACAAAAATCCATAGGTGACACTCGGGAGATTTAGTAGGGATATCAGTGAAGGGTATGGCCTTGATATACCAGTTTTTTGTTGCATTTCCTTTAGGAAATTTACAGTGGATTTTTAAAGTGTGACTGCTAGCTTTGTCCTGATGGAGTCTCACAGATTGATGGCACTGTGGGTTGAAGCGATGGTATTTCACATTCAAAAAATTGGCGATAAAAATATGTTCCTGATAGTATTTTGGAGTTAATCTTGACATTTTTTCACTCTCTTTCTTTATTTTTAACTTGCCATTATAAGAAAAACCAGCAACAATCATGAATCCCTTAGAAAAACTTTCTCTCGATTCTTGAACCATGTACTTAGATCTTTTTCTTTTCTCCCCTTTTATGAAATAAATGGCTCTTTTTTGTTACAATCTTTTAAATACACCCATGCTTCACCTATTGTGACAATTGTTTTTCCATTTTTCTTTGGATAAGTGTTTCTCATATAGAATTCTGCAGCAGCGTGTCCTTCGTTGAGCGATATGCTTTGGAAGAAGAGGACGATGCCATTGCGTTTTTTCGCTTTCTTAAGATTTAAATCAACGTTTATCATTTTGTTTACAGTGGACACCGAGCATTTTAATGATTTTGCAACTGTCCTTTGACTAGGAGGATTTTCTTTTAACATTAAACAACGTACCTTTGCAATAGTCGAAGATGTTCGTTTTTTCCTTGGATACTTGTTTGGAATTTTTGGCCCACTTGAGGCTCCAATTTGACTTTTTTTGACCAATTTGACCAATTTAACTTTCTTGTTGATGATATTACCTATCGACGCTTTAGATATTACAAAACAATGACTCTCACATCGTTTTTGGATAACAGAGTATGCATATTTCTCTTCGGAAAGAGCGTAAATGTAGTCTTCGAACCACTGCTTTGTTAAATTCGCCATTTTGAATAAAAACAAAACTTTCAAGCCACAGACGATAATTTTGACTTTTAAAAACATAGTGCAATTGAAATTACTTCTTTTGCAGCAAACGAGTTTTTATTACTGCTTACCAAAATCGTCTAAAAAATGTGCGAACAGCCTCTGTATTCAATTTTTGAATTTAGAAGATAAGATAGATTGTTTGTTTGCGTACCACCGATTTTTCTCCTGCGTACCACTGGTGGAGAATCGTTGGTCTAGACAATACATCAAAGAATTCGTTTTACTATTAAGCTCCGTATTTTCCGAACCCGAATTCAAATAAGCGCTGCATTTAAATCCTTTCAAGGATACGCCTTTGATCCAAAAGAATGAAAACTATAGTGGCTCAAATGGAGGTTTTATATTTCACTAGGCAGACTTTTTAAGACCTGACTGTCGGTTATTTAAGCTAATAAAATAAAGAAAAATTTTAATTTTGGCTTTTACGACCGAAGTATACTTTTTTCCTAATGGTAATAGTATATATAATATTTGAAGCTATTTTCTCAGCTTATTTCTTTGTAATGTTTATGAGCAACTAGTGTTTTGCTGCTAGTGCAATTCTTAACTTAAAATTTCTAATTATTTCAGTATAATATACATTTGTATTTCTTATTTAATGTGACATTTAGGTATAATAAATGAATAATTAATGATTTAAATTTAATAAATGGTGAGTGTCGCTTACGTGCAATTAAAATAAAGTATCTTTGGTAAGTTCAGGTTATAACATTGACAAATAGCAACGGTAATTAAGAAAATGTATTTAAGAGAGGAAAAGAACATTTAAAGAAAGGAATAATAATTTAATAAATTAATATCATTAAGGAAAATTTAGATTTTAAAATTAAATCTTTTGCTATTTTAACTCAATGCATAAAGGAAATATTTGATTCATCTTCGAAGCTAATTGTAATCGCTTTTATATTTCAGGTTTATATTCATGGAGATGATGTAAAATCTCTACACCAGTATATTCCTTCAGAGACCCTTCCTCCAGAGCTCGGTGGAGCAGCAGAATCAATCAATATGCACAAGTATCAGTCTTTCGTCCTCAGTCAAGAAGCATACATACAGAAACTCAATCAGTATGGCTTCATCAAAAACACCAAACCACACTGAAACATTTCAAAATTTATTAGTTAGGTTTCTTGAAAGTTATGTATATAGAGAAAAGAAATATTTTTACGAAATATCAGTATTATGTATTTTACGAAAATTTCCTATGTGAAGCAGGTTGAAGGGTTCTGAAATATGTAATATAAAATATAGACTAATATTGCAACAAGTTTGAGGAAATGTACAATGATGTTAATATTTGTCCACTCAAGTTTAGGTTTATTATCTTCGGAATTGCTCTGTATTTCTCAGAAAATGAAACTGTGTATATTCTAGACCAACGGTTCTCAACCTCTTAACTAACACGTACCATTTAATCAAAAACTGAACACCTTTAGTACCACCATTACATTTTACAATGATTATTTTTCAGTTCCTTAATAGAAATAATAATAATCTGAAAGTTTTCAGATTTTGCATTACGACCAAAGGGACTTTATTTTAACCTTTTGTGTGTTACCTTTATTTATTAAATATCATGTTCTTCGCACTTAAACCATAAAATTCAATTCAACTGCAATATCGCAAGATAATTTTAAAATGAGCATATCTTTAGAATTTCCAATACACAGTCTCGCGCGGTGGAGATAAGAATTTTTTTTTTTTTTTTCGTACAATGTTGCCATTGCTCGCTTTAAAATCGTTGAGTTTGTTAATCAAAAATTCGTTAAAGTGTTACAAAATATGAGATCGATAATAAAACAAATTCCAAATTCGCCCACATTCGGTGGAAGATTACGTTATTCAAAATTTGATGGCTCTATAATCACACTGCGAGATACAAACTTACATTTTATGCAGATTCTTCATTATTTAATTTCTTTAGATATTTTTAGAAGTAAGAGGAACGTTTAAAAGCTTATGCTAAAAAATACATTTGACTCTATAGTTCCTTAGCAAAAATGTAAAATCATTCAACAACTAGAAATAATAATAAAGTGGTAAATGCAATCTCCTTAAAACTGAATGTTCAAATTACAGTCGAAATGACTTCAAAATCAAAAAGGGGTGAGAAAAAATTAATAAATTTTAACGCACAAATAATTTTAAAAGGACTTGTAAAAGTTAAACATATTTCAAAAATACATGAACCACTAAGGTCTCTCTAATTCATGTTGTCTTGCTGCTTTTGTATTTCTTTAAATACAACACAGGGCGATAATATTTGGTAGCAACAATTTTAAATGTCCGATCGACATTTAAGTTAAATGTGAAACTTAATGTGAAAACTTAAATGTGAAACTTAATGTGAAACCGACAAAAGTAAAAAAAACTTAAATGTGAAACTGACATTTAAGTTTTCAACGCAAAATGCCAAAACGAATCTCAAGTATTCATATATTTATGGTGAAACTATTATGAAGAGCCGTTATGTGTGAGGTTCTTAGTGGGATTCCGTGATAAGCTCTGGTAAGAGCAGGATAAATGCCTGCTGAACACCAGAATATGCAACTAAAGCATCAAAGCCAAAACGAAGTTAATAGCTCTTCTGGGCTAACGCCGTTTGGGCTAAAAAGAAAGAAAAAAATCTGAATGCTCTTCAGATTTTATACTCCGCCCAAAAGGACGTTTTTTTTAACGTTTGGTGTGTTTACTTTTATTTATTATAAATACCATGTTCTTCGCACTTTAAACACATAAACTTCAATTCAACCATAAAATATTTAAAAACAGCAAAATAGCATACTTTTAGAATTTCAGATACACAGTCTCCTGCGATGGAGATTAAAATGATTTTTCGTTCGGTGTTCCTATTGCTCGCTTCGAAATCATTGAGTATGTTAATTAAAAATTTGTTAAAAGTTTTGAAATTTGAAAAAGATAATAAAAAAAATTCGAAATTCAAACTCCGGCCTTCCAAGTGGCCATGTTTGGTTGGAGTATTACGTTATTCAAAATCTGATAGCTCTAGACCGTTGTTTTTTCTCAATGCGAGGAACATTCATTCATTCATGCAGATTCTTCATTATTTAGGTTTTTTAAATATAATGCATGCAAGGAGGTTAGAATACATGGAGATGCCGTCTCTGCTATTGCAGTACAAAGAAAGTGAAGCCAGGGGAAGGAAATAAGCCACGCCACAGGAGGGCAAGAAAATGGTTACCTTACTAAGCGAAGTGAAGTAAAATGCCAGCTGGTTTCAAGTTCTCAGTGTGTTTTCTGATTTTGTATGCCTAGATCTGAAAGGCCTAAAAGGCACTGAATTGTTACAGCGAAATAATGTCTACATTTCCGACTTCATGTCCATGTAAAAGAATGTTTTAGAACGTGCATAAAAAAGTAGAATAATCGAAATGTGTGTTTGAATGGCCTTCAAGAAAGAGTTTGAGTATTTTCTTTGTACACGAAGAAATATATATAGTTCTCAGATTTACCTTTTCATAATAATAATAAAAGTGATATTCGTAATTAACTTATATTTGATGGCAAAACGATAAGTAAACAAGGGGAGGGGGAGTGGCTAGCTCTCCATGGGAAAGAAAACAGCTTACTTTAATGTCTGATCATAATTACATTACAAGTGTGTTACCTATTATGTGTTTAACCACATTTTATTTTGTGCTCAAGTAAATATATATTAACTGGATTTGATTTTTAGTCCCAAATTTTTGTGTGAGTTTTAAAATAACAACGTAAAATTTACATATTTCTATCATTGTTTATTCAAATTAAGTTTTTTCGAAACATAAGTAATATTTATAACATGAGAAATTTGAGAATTATATATACTTAGAATAAGTAAAGTATAATCAAATTATAGTTTGAGTACATAGTTACTGTTGCGATACAATACTTTTTGATTCATAATTACATGCAATTTTGTAGAAATATAGCTTTGTAGAAATAAAAGAAATGGGAAAAGAAAGGAAACGTTGCTGCTTGCTTAAATGCTAATTGCTTATGCTTATATTAGCCCAGTTGGGCTTTAATAAGCTATATTGATCTAATCCCCTAAGGACAATCAGAATGTCAACTATCAGCTAGTTCCCAGCCAGGAAATCGGAGCGGGTAAGGAAAAGAGGGCCCATCGGCCATAGTGACAAAGTCCAATCATCAAAGTAACTTAACTTAACTCTTACCCCTGAGACAAGAGTAATAATCACGTGTATGGAGCTATGAAGATGCAAAAGAAATGAAAATACATGAAATGTGCATAGGATACAGTGTTGAACATGTAATAAACAAATGAAAGTGAAGTAATGTACGCATAAAAAATGTGTTATTTACATATTTGAAAACGAGTGGGCTAAGTGACAAAATTGTGATCCCTCATTCTGTGAGCCGTAAAAGGCCTGATATTGTAGTCCTCAGGAATGCAGACATAGTTCAGTACAGCATTAAAGTTTCCTTTACTGCAATTCAAGCCTTTGTCAAAGAACTTGCTGTTAAGTTTTTGCAGATATTTGTCAATATATTCAACTTGTAAATCATCGTGCAGGAGTTTGTTACGGATGTAAAAATGCGCTCCTGTCAATGGTGCGTAAGATTGTGTTTTGAGTCACCTGCAATTTGTTGATATCTGAGCTCGTAGCAGTCGCCCAGACAGGGGACGCATAACACATAATTGGTCTTAAAATGGAAATATAAATCTGTCTTTTCCTTCTCAGATCTAACTGCGAGCTGCGCCCTAGCAGTACTTGTAATTGTTGAGCAATTCCTCTGGTCTTGTTTGCAATGTAATTGACATGCGTACTCCACGTGAGTCTTCGATTCAAGTAAACACCTAAATACTTGGCCTTGTTTACCATCGGGACACGTTGGCCGAATAGGTAAAGTGGCTGAACTGAGACCAGTATTTTCTTCCTTCTAACAAGAAGTAGCTGTGATTTAGTCGCATTGATGGAAATCTTCCACCTGGAGCACCACTCCTCAATGTCCATAATTATATCCTGCATAACAGAAATTGCCCTGTTAGGCTGAATAGATCTGACCGCTACAGCGGTGTCATCCGCATAGCAGGCCAGCAATGTATTTCTGTTGAGTTTATCCCGCGGGAAATCAGCCGCATAGAAAAGATAGAGTACTGGGCCAAGACAGGACCCCTGGGGGACGCCTGCAGCGATAGTTTTGTATCCAGAATGACTTTGCTTGCAGCTAACTGTAAAGTAACGATTTGCAATATAAGATCTGGTGAGTAAGATCAGTTCTCTAGGCAAATTCATCATTATCAATTTATATATTAAGCCCTCATGCCAGACACGGTCAAATGCTTTGGCCACGTCCAGCATGAGCACTGCAGTACAACTCTTATGATGCAGAGCAGAGCCGATAAATTCCACAAGCCTAATCAGTTGTTTAGATGTGCAAAGTTCGCTCCTAAATCCGTACTGATCTTCCGGAAGTACCTGTAAATAAGGCTGGAATTTCCTTAAAATTATTCGTTCAAAGATCTTGCCTATATTAGAGAGCAAGCTTATGGGCCTGTGATTCTCCGCCTTAGTGATGTCTTTTGCAGGCTTCGGTAGTAGGAAAACTTTTGCGTACTTCCAGCAGTCCGGGAAGTAGCATAACGTAATGCATATATTAAAAATGCTGGAAAGTCTTGTGATTCCACCGCGCGGGAGGTTCCTGATCATTAAATTTGTAACTCCATCAATACCTGGGGCTTTCTTGGGGTTCAATTTGGAGATAATATCCGTAACTTCTCTTGGATTAGTTAAACCATCGGCATTTAGAGCCGTGGGAGCACCTAGCCATTCTTCTACTTTCATTCTGACTTGGGTCTCAAAGTGAATATTACGAGGTGTCTGATTGGGAGAAAACTGCTTTTCAAGATGTGAAGCGAAAATCTGACATTTGTCAGTATCTGAATAAGCAGTCACGCCGTTGGCAATAATTGGCCTATCACACTGATGCGTCCTCTTTAACATTTTTGTAAACTGCCAGAAGGCATCACTGTCTAAGTTTAACTCCTCCATTTTAACATTCCAAGCCTCACACTTTAATTTATGCATTTCAAGCTTAATATGCTTACTGATCCTATTTAACTCCGTTTTAATAATTGGGTCCCAGGTGATATTATACCTCCTTCGCAGCCTGTTTCTTTCGGCTATGAGAGATTTGACGTACCTTGGAATCTTAGCGATTTTACAAGACCTTTGAGTAACCTTGGTGGCCTCATAGTAAGAGTCATTAAGACATGTAGTAAACTTATCAATCTCCTTGTCAATATCAGAAGGGCTTTTCATAGCACCTAATTTAGGGAGCCTCACTTTCACAACATTGTGGTACATTCTCCAGTCGGTATGGGTCTTAACATTCGTATAATTAATACTGGTGACCCCTAGTGTAGCAATCACAGGAGTATGATCAGAGCTTAAGTCGTCTCGAACCTCCAGCACCATATTAATTCCTGTATTAGTCAAGATGATATCTAGAATATCAGGAGTGTACCTGATGTTGCTGGGCCTG